AAAAGCTTCATCTCCCGTATCTATCGGATCTACGAATAAATAAACTTAAAACATAATAATGCACACAATCACATTATAGTAATAAGTAATAAATAATAATGTTGGACAGTTTTACAGCTGTTAACTGATCTTATCCTCCGATAATTTGAATGCAGATCCATAACTATGGAATTTAAAAAATACTTGATTGTAATTATCATTAATTAGCTGGTCAATTTCGATTGTTATTAATGAGTTATAACGCATCGGTTAATGCGGTATAACTCATTAATAATTTACGGAACTGAGTTGGTGCCAAATCGTTTTGATGAAAAGAAAGGTCTTTTCAGGGGACAGATTTGAGTGAAAACTTAACTTAATAATTAACGGAACTGAGTTACTGGGTCGGTGCGTTGGGTTGGCGCACCACGCTATTTGCGCAGCACTGCGCCAACTCCGAAAAATTCACTGAGTTACCCAGGCCTAGTTGACAATCGTTGACATTAGCAGTTACCCTAACCTATTCGATTTTCGGTTAAGCTTTTGATATTTTCAAAGCAAAAACATTGTTGCCGACATTCTGATTTCGTTTTTTGCAAAAATCTCAGTTTTCGATAAATTATTATATTTTTTTACTATTTTTCCTGTACTCTAAACACCCGCAGAGGAAGGACGGCAATTTTGAATCAGCCTGTATAAAGAATGTGGGCTGCCTGGTTTACTGTTGAACAGGTAAATAAATTGTCAACGATTAATCTTATTTCGTCATCCTCGGGACAATCAATGAAAAGCTTATGTAAATTTTTGGGTGTACTACACACTCACACGCCGACCTGCATGAATGAATTCTACAACTACTGGTTTCACAATTTCGAATAAAGAAGACATAACGGTTGTATTGTATTGCATCAGACGTTTGATTTATATGTAGTCAATGGGCATTTGCATTCGATAATAAACATACACGCTTTCCATTTGCTCTGCGGGAGGATTTCGGTTCGGTCTAAAACGGATTTTTCGGCTAGTTTTTTGCTTAAAAAACCGATTCTAAGCCCGCTTTTTTGCCCCCTTTTAGACATTGCTAAATGAATGACTGTCGGCCAGTTACCAAGCAGCCCGAGACCTTTCAATTATCAGATTTTAACGTTTTTTTATTCGGGGGGTCACACCTACCTACCTACATAATACGTACATTCATACTCATTGTGGATAAGGCAAGTGGTTACGATCGCCCATTAATATCCTGCTGCCTTTAAACCGACCTAATTGCGGGCGAATTTGAAAAAATCCCCATTGGGTCGGCATTTAACAGTGGCGGCGCGCGTGATTTCACTTACCCACATAAATTGTTTCTTTCCACTTTTTTCGAACACATTTCTCTGAATTAAATGATTATTTCTTGATTGATCTACTGTTCCACAGAGTAGGGAATGAGTGTGGCGCTGCACAAACGTTATACAGAAGAGCTGAAAAAAAGCCGGTACATTTTTTATGTCTGTAAAACAGTGTTGAACGGCCTTTTCATATGCGAAATTTGATTTTCTAGGCTCTTTAAGCGAAAGGAAGAACGACTATAAGAAAATGATGCTTTCCAAGTTCCACCTCAGGACTAATGTGTGCTAAGGATAGGTTAATGTTAAGTTAGAAAAAAAAAATTGGCATCGGTTTGTTTTGTTCCGGAATTTTCTTTGCCGATTAGTGGAAACTTTGTACCAGGCACGATTCATTCCTTCCATCCTTGTCGTTGTAAAGATGAGATGGAGAACTCGGCAACTAAAAAAATGCAAACTTGAAGGATCAGTAATTATATAATACGTCACCAGTAGAAGTAGGAATATTATTAACGCAC